ATCATTATCATTAATAACAAATGTGATCATTTTCTGCAATACATTTGTCAGAGATTTGTGTTACGATTATATCCGATCCTTTTTTTACTTTCCACATTTTTAATGTTGATGAATTACATGGATATTCATAAATTGGTTTTACAATTTTTTAAATAATTCCATTTAAATAAATTTCGCCCTCATTTGAATAACAATATATGTTGTATAACAATATATACTGTTTACTTGCAAAATTTTTCTATTCAAAAGTAATACAATATTATTTAAAGATTTTGTGGTAATAAGAGCGTTTTTGTATCGTAGCTTTTTTATATCAATACTTAATTTATCTTGTTTTTCTTTTTTTCTCAAAATTTCAATAGATATAGTACAGGTATAGTAAATTTCTTTAAAAATAAAAAATCTTTCATGTATACGGCGATACAGTTGTGCCAATGGACGATTACCACTTCTTATTAAAGATTTTATTTTTCCAAGAGTATTTTCAAATGGAAAAGCAGTAATTTCACTAAGAGAACATTGTATATTAACAGTATCATCGGCTAAATGAACAAGATTATGTGTATTTAATACCTGACTTTCTTCGCCATACAACTGGCGTGCTGCAACAACAAAATAATAAAGAAATAGCTTTGCATATTCATTACATTTTATAGCTGTTTCTGGAAAACATAGTATGCGGCAAGTTATATACAATAGTAGAAAATGTTTATATAAGTCTTCCGCTAAACATTTTTTTATTACAATTAATCCGCAATATAATAGAAAAAAACGAAATTCGGTAGCTTTCCATTTTGCTATTTCAGTAATTGATCGCGTACTTCTTTGAAATTCTTCTAGTACATAGTTTTGTAGTTTAAGTAAATTTTGCGCAAGTACATTTGGCAACATTACTGCTTTTGTGCTGATTTATTATTAAGCCAAAAATCCATAAATATCTTCTTCATCGAGACAACATAAATGCATGAAATCAAGTACAAACATCGTTATATTTTTCCCATGTAGTTCCCACATAGTTTTTCCCATCTAGTGCCCACATCATTTTTCTGATACACTTCCCACATAGTTTTTCCCATCTTCTTCCTACATAGTTTTTCCCATTTTCTTCCCACACAGTTTTTCCCATCTAGACTCCAAATAATTATTCCTATCTAATTTTCACATAATTTTTTCCATATTGCCTCTATCTAGTTTTTCCCATTTAGCCCCCACATAGTTTTTTCCATTTAGTCCCCACATAGTTTTTCCCATCTAGCCCCTACATAGTTTTTCCCATCTAGTTCTCACATAGTTTTTCCCATCTAGCTCCTACTTAGTTTTTCGTATCTAATTCCAACATAGTTTTTTCCATCCATTCCCCACATTATTTTACCCATTTAGCTACTATCTAGTTATTCCCAACTAGCCCTCCCACACAGTATTTTCAATCTAGCCCCCATATAGTTTTTTTTATAGCCCCCACATATAATATTTAAACAATATTTAATATTAACTTACAATATTTAATATTAAATTACAATATTTAATTTTTACTTTTCCCAGGAGTCGGCGCGCAGTGTAGTGCTGCGTGTATTTATATAAAACGAAAAAACCAAATGTTTTACCTTTTCATGAGACTTAAATTATTGAATTGAATTTTTAAAGAGAATAGTGCAAAATTGTAAAAATGGCGTCACATAGAAAATGAAAATGTCGATTTTTACATGCTTGTTAGGCAAAAAGTAGTTTGATATTAAATAATTCTTATTAGGCCCCTATTGTTTTCTCAGGTCCTGATTAGGACAATATCAGGCACTTCTTATCAAGGATGTATTAGCAATACCTATTCAGATGCTGATAAAGAAGATATATTATATTATATTATATTTTATGTATTATTAATATAATAATAAAAAATTTATATTTATTTTTTCAGCGAATATAACATATAATCTTGTTTACAGAGTTACGCATGTGGGACAATCTGTAGTCGAGCTTATTCAAAAGGCTGAAAACGGTCAGTTTAGGTCGTTCAGAATGATATGCCACTGTTTGTAATAAAATCACATGATCTTACGAAACCAGTCGAACAAATCGACATACAAGTATGAAAAACTGATGAAAATCAGAAGAAATCAATAATTTTGCATTCATAAGAAATATTGCCTTTAATATTTCGACATGTGAAATTAATATAATTTTACTAAAACAATGTAACGCAAGAATGACGAAAAACCAAGATTTATTTATTTATTTAAGGATTATTGTTTTGTTAATGTTATTTTAGAGAAATATATTTAATTATTTAATGATTAAGGCTCACTTATTTTTAAATGTTATACAAAAGGAAAAAGTAGATACTATACATTAACATAAAATATTAGCACAACATAAAATAATCAAAAGACAAACAAAAATGAAAATGTAAACACAAATGCAGGTACAAATATAGAAATTGTATTAAAAATAGTATTAATGCAACTCGGGCATGCCAAGTTTTTGTACGTCGTTTTTTTTCTTACATATCAGATTTTCTTTTATATTTTATTTTTATATAAACAAGTACAATAATTCAATAAAATTGTTTTGGCAACTACAAATGATTTAGATTAATAACATCTTTTTCCTTTGCAAAGTTTCTTTTCTGCTTTGTATAATTAAAAGTTTGTGCCAATTTTTGATGTCATGTTTTTTGTAGAAATAATAAAACAACTTTTTAAATAAAAATGAACTATAAAATAAAATGTATTTCACTGTAAAATTGTTTTTATTTTATTAAATTAGAAGTTGGCGCCAGTTTGATATCACATCTTTTGTATCAATATAAAATTTATTAAAAAGACTTCTCTAGATGGAAATTTTTGTATAAAATTATTTCATTTACATAAATAAAAAAAGCGACGCATGAACTTGGCGTTATTTTTTATCTTTTTTAAAAGGTAATTTTGTTAGAATATAACTCATTTTTTTTAATAATATCTATTATTTCGCATATTTGAAACATTTTTATACTTTATATATACGAATAAATACAAATTTATTTGAATATTTTTTATTTGTTATAAATTATAAAAATTTTACAATTATATTAATAAAGTTTTGCAGAAATCTTTTATTAATAGTATTTATTAAAATTAAAAATTTTTTAATTATCTTTTATATTAAAACATATGAAGTATTTAATGATATGCAAGAATACAATTTTTATGACATCTTGTTTTAAATTACTTATCATGAATTATTTTCATTTCAAAATTTTGAAATAAAAAGTGTTTTATAGACAAATATATATAAAATTTTTTTCTTCCAGATGCCAAATAGTAACGCTTATTACGCTTTTTTTTTTAAAATAAGGAAAGAAACATCTATTTCATTTGCTTATCTTATCTTTTCTTATATTTATACAAATATATTTAAAAGTAAAACGATAAACTTACTTTAATTTGCTAATTGCCAGAAAATATTTAAATATAATTAAAACATTTAGAATTTTTACTATGATTAGTCCTTCGATTACAGAAGCACAATAATTTAGTATCTATGTATACATATAATTTATCATATATATGTATGCATACATAATAATAATGTACATTATACTATAATTCATTAATAAATAACAAATAAATAAAATATTTAAATTTTATGTATTTGCATATTTATTTAACTTGTAATTATCATAAAATATGTAGAATGAAAACAATAAACTAAAAACGTTTTGCGTTTTATTGTAATTTAACTACATGTAAAACTAATTCTTGGCATATAAAAGCTTTGTAACCGAGCTACTTTTTTCTGTGAACAATTTTGCCTATATTAAATTCTCTCATTCTAACTTTACATAATGGACAACGTACAAAATAAAACAGCACTAGTCACAGGAGCCGGATCCGGCATTGGCTACTGCATTGCCGAGGAATTATTGCGTAAAGGTGCGAAGGTAATTTACAATTGCAAAAAAAAACAAATTGATATTTTTTATCCATTTATTATAATTTTGTAGAAAGTTGCCATTGACGATTTGCCAATAACACATAGTTATAATGGAGTAGTTAGTCTGCAAGAACAATTTGGAAAAGAACGCGTCATTTTCTTTCCGGTTGATATAACGAACATAGAATTATATAATGGTAATTATTGAATCTCATAAATATTTACAATTCTTTGTGAAAATATTCATCAGTAATCATAATCGTGACATTTGTTTTACATTTTTAAATAAAAAAATATCTGTTAAATTAGAAATTATTAAATAAAAACATTAATTTCTTTAATCTTTAGAAACCTTTAAGCAAGTTGTTAATATCCTTAATGGACTTGATATACTTGTGAATAATGCCGGAATAATGAAAGATGTTTGTATCGAACAAACATTTGCTGTTAATGTTGTAAGTAATAGAATATTTTATACAGAATATGCTATGAAACATGATAATAAAAATCCATATAACATGTAACCTTCACAACTTTATATATATAAAATTAAATTATTTACAAGAGTTATTTACAAGAATTGCATACACAATCAGAATATTGATGTTGAAAACTATTTAAAGCATATGACAATATGATAATATTCATTAATCGAAGATCTGTCATACTTTTATATCAAAATCATAAGTTTAGTTTATAATATCATTTAGTAGCAGATTCCGGTCAATCACTAGGTGCTCGGGTCCTAGCTAGAATCCTAGATAAGCGAGTTGGTATATCAAAAGGATGGATGAACGATGGTTCCCAAAAAAATGTGCGATGTTACCGACATTGCAAGATAAAAAAGATTTCATTAGTTCCATTGCACGCTGCACATATATATGCGCTTTCATGCTTCGTAGAAATATTTTTGTTCAGCATTATAAAATTTATTTTATTAACTTTTTCTGATTATTTTATAATATTAAATTAACAATTAAATTTTATTTAGTATTTTAATTATGTAATATAAAAAAATATATAATTTATATTTAATATTCTGTTAATAACTATTAATAATTTTCTCATAAAGCCTCCAATGTATGTTTATTAATCTTTCTCAAAATCGTATAAAACATCCATAATTGATCCACATAACCTCCATGAGACGTCTACATAGAGGTCTAATGGAGGTCTAATAGAGGTTAAAAACGCGGAACTATGGATCTCCAATAGAGATTTTGGTTTAATGGAGATTTTGTGAATGTCTGGGAATGGAGGTTATAAATCATGATGGACCTCTAATGGACGTCCATTAAAAGTTTTTGTTCCGTGTGGGATATATATATTACATGTATTCACATATAATCTTTTATTTCTACAGGTAGCACTAATTCGTGGCTCACTTTTAGCCTTGGATCACATGGGCAAACATAAAGGTGGCAAAGGAGGTACCATAGTAAATATCGCATCTAGAGCTGGCCTTGAAGCTTTCCCTACAGCTCCAGTGTACAGTACTTCTAAATATGCTGTTATTGGATTTAGCCTCAATCTTGAGGTAATTATTTATAGAGAATATGAATTCAATTGTTTCAATATTAAATAAAACTTACTGCAATTACAATTCTTTTAACTCCATTTAAAAAGAAACATAAAATGAGAAATATACATAAATCAATACCATACAATGTATTATACATTTAAATCAGATATTTACCGGAAGTTTAAATGTAATAGATTCAACGTATATTAGTTCCGTATAATTTTAGTTGTGATGTTGGGCTGATATACGTTATTATAAACTATAATACATTTATTTATTTCTTTAGCACTATTCTCCAATCAATTAAAATCGATTATCGATTATTTAAAATCGTATTTGATAAACAAATTATATTTTATGATACATAATTTGTACGAATAACTAGTATAGATATCTAAACATGTTACACATATTGACCATTTAAAAGACGTTGTTTTTTTTATTATTTTAAACAGTTTTTTCATTTTTGAATAAACGTATTATATGCATTGAACCAGAACGTATCTTCCATTTTTTAAATTACTTTATTGAAAAAAAGTATATCAATTCAAA